CCATTCTTACTTTTAGCCCCTAATTTTCTATCACAATAGTTACAAATTGCCTTCTCGTTCCCATCAATGACTCTTTTTTTGAAGTGATTCCACACTACCGAAGTTAATTTCCTTTTTTTACCTTTTCCACTACTCTCATCCTCTTTCTCACACAAGTCTATTAGATCTTGTGGTGTGTTTGTCTGACTAGGTAAGTCTTCCAACGACGGATTATTACTTGATCGTATTGGAGTACTTCCAATGCTCGGCACTGGTGTACAATGACGTGATCCAGACATCTGAAATAAAAAAAGAAAAAATAACATGAATAATATATGATTAGCAATATTCTTTCATAATAAATTAGGATTTATGAGAATATTTCAATTCATACAAACCACCTAGTATTTTTTTAATTCCCATTAACTTCAATATTCCCACACTTAACTTTTCTAGTATCACTACATAATTTTGACTCTCTTTCCCTCTATATATATGTGTCTAAATTCAATAATAAAATCATCATCTACTAATCAAAACAAAAGACATGGAGTTCTTCTATATGTCTCTCCTTGGCCTCTTTGTTTCCTCTGTATTCTTCTCTCTCAATTTCATCTTCTACAAGAACAAATCGAGCTCATCTGGGACGCTTCCTCCGGGCAAGACTGGATGGCCTGTGGTCGGTGAAACCCTCGAGTTTCTCACCACTGGGTGGAAGGGCTACCCCGAAAAGTTCATTTACGATCGGATGGCGAAGTACTCATCCAAAGTTTTCAGGACTCATCTACTTGGGGAAAAGGCTGCTGTTTTCTGTGGTGCTGCTGGTAATAAGTTTTTGTTCTCAAATGAGAATAAACTTGTCCAAGCATGGTGGCCTGCATCTTTTGACAAAGTTTTCCCATCTTCTAATCAAACTTCATCAAAAGAAGAGGCCATAAAAATGCGGAAAATGCTACCGAATTTCCTTAAACCCGAAGCCTTACAACGATACATTGGTATAATAGATCATATTGCCGCTGATTAAGGCAAGTAGATCATTATCAGGATTAAGTATCAAAGGCCAAAACTAAATTTGAATAATTTAGTTTCAAACAGAAAATAATTTACACTTCAAACAAAATAACATTTGGATTCCTAGTCTTCAATCACATCCTCTTCAAATTCCAGAACCGAAATCTTCCCCTAATTTAAAGATGAAAAAATCAAAAGCTGAAACTGTAAAGTTACTTACCAATTATCGCGGCTAGATCAGATGGACGGCAGCTAGAGACAAAGAACGGCAGCTACAGATGGAATGCACAGTTTTTTTTTTGTGGAAATGGAAAATAATCTGATTTGATTACCTTGCTCGTCACGGCGCCGCCTCACCTCGCGTGAAATTGGATGGAAATTGGGAATTTGGGATATGGTAAATGGGATTAGCCGATTAGGGATTCTGGCTTCTAATCTAGGAATAGGAGGAAATGGGTTAATGGGAAACGAGACTGGGTTAATGGGAAAGGGGATTGGGAAATTGGATTAGGCCTTGGCTGTTACAAATTTGGGCTGGGCCAGATAAATTTGAGTCATTTCACTTCAAATTGAAATTAAATTAAACGAGGCGGGGCGGGGACCTTGTTACCCGTCCTCGTCCCGCCCCGAAACCCGATTAAGCGGAGAATCCCCGCCTCGTTCGGGGCGGGGCCCCGCGGGTATGGGGTTTAATGGGGTTGCCATCCCTACTGCCTCGTTCCTTGAAAAAGGAATAAGCAATTATTCTAAGGCCTCATTCCTTGAAAAAGGAATATGCGATCACTTGAAGACCTCTTTCGTTGAAAAAAGGAAGAGGCACTTAAAGACCTCTTCCCTTAAAAAACGAAGAGGCACTGTCTTGAAGATCTCATTCCTCAAGGAAGAGACCGAAACTCTAAGAGAGCATCTTATTATCCGAAACTCTAAGAGCATTTTATTATCCTCAGCTCTAAAAATAGCCTCAGTTCATACATATCAATTTCAACTAGAGTTTCAACAACCTTCCCAGGATAGTTCTAAAAGGTAAAGAAAACTACCAAGTAAACCACTTCGGACATCACCCGTAGAAGGTCTGTACGAATCAGATATGTTTCCAACTATAGGGGTATGATAAAGACCATCCCCCTACGCAAACTTTTTATCTTAATTTTACTTTCAAGTCCATGCATCACATAAATAATCATGCATAGACTTAGGGGACTATTGTTACTCCCGTAAATTATGAGGCACTATCTTGAAGGAAGGGCCCCACATTGCAGACTTGGCATCGACTTAGAGGGCCTCAACCATTTATAAAAAGCATCGGCTGAAGGGCTTCAACCACTTATAAAGACTATTGGCTGAAGGGCCTCATTCACTTATAAAGAGTATCGGCTGAATGGCCTCATTCACTTATAAAGAGCCTCGACTAAAGGGCTTCAACCACTTATAAAGAGTCTCGGTTGAAGGGCCTCATTCACTTATAAAGAGCCTCGGCTGAAGGCTTCAACCACTTATAAAGAGCCTCAGCTGAAGGGCATCATCCACTTATATAAAGCCTTGACTGAGAGTTTTAGAGCCTCGATTTTGGGCATGGGCAAGGCCCATAAACCACATGGCCCATTTACATATCCATTTTCTATATATATGTGAATCAATTTCATTTTAAAGTATTTTCTCTAACACTATCCTCTTCCACTCTTCCTCTCTTACACTTATATTTTTCTCGTTCGGTAGTTGATTTGACTGTCGGAGTGCAAACGCTCGCCGAACCTTTTTCTTGACTGGCGGCCTTTGCCTCCTAACGGGGTGTTCAGTGTGCAGGAGAAGTCCACGTGAAGGGGACGTGGCGGGGATTCTGTTGAGCTCATTTTTTGGGGTCAACAGTTTTATTTAATTTATTCTCTTGCAAGGTCAAGCTACATTAAATTAT